GGAAATATTTTGTTTTCTGAAAAATAGTGTGGGATGCGGGTATCCCGCTAAGGTAATGCCATCTAGTTGAACGTTGATACATAGCCTATTTGTTGACAGTAATCCCATCTAGTTGAACGTTGATACATAGCCTACTTGTTGACAATACGTCTTAATTTGTTTCAAAGATTGGAAGGTCCATGATAATCCTTCAAGGAACATTGTCTGGTTACCGGAAATTTGTTTCAAAGAAATTTCGTCGACAGAAAAGTGATCGAACGGAAAATTGATCGAACGGAAATTTATAATGCGTTCAAAAAGAAATTCGACGCAAAGTTTTAACGTGTGCACTGAAAACAAGACTCGACCAAATTTATGATCGATCAAATTTCCGTCGGTCAATTTTCCATCGAAGAAATTTCCTTCAAACAAATTTCCGGATACGATATCATCTGTGTGTTAATAATAGTACATCAAGTCAGAATTGACATAGACGCTAGAATAACAAAAAGCTATAAGATCACGTAGAAAAATCCGTTCAAGTTTAGTTACCTCTGTAACTGCCATTTTGGTAATGTAAATGTCCTGAGTTTGATCATGTGTCCTGTTTCCTTGAATAGTAGAGTAGTACCAGAGTCATTCAGATTTCCTTCATTTAAAATCAAAGGGATTTTTAAAAAAAAATATGTTTCACTCTGAAAACTTAGTTGCTGTTTTTTTTCCAATCTTCTATCTACATATTTTACTGTTTTTTTTTAATTAACCTCCCCCCCCCCCCCCCCCCCGATTTCTGCAATTTCATCATTTTGTTTGTCTGCAGGCGGCTACACCTCAAACAACAAGCCCTACCCACAAGGAGAGATTCTGATTGGTGGAGGGAATGTCACTCAGGGATATTACAACAACCCAGAAAAAACTGCCGAGGATTTTATCTCCATCGGTGGCACCCGGTACTTCTGCACCGGGGACATTGGTCAGTTTGAGGAGGACGGGAGCTTGAGGATTATTGGTAAGTGGAGATTGGTCAGATCAGAGCCGTAACGAGGGGGTCGCAGGGGGGCAGATGTCCCCGGGCGCCAGGTAGTTAGGGGCGCCAAAATGTGCTTTGATATTATTTTATTGATGAAAATAATGGGTTTGAGAGTTGAAAAAATAAAAAAGGGGCGCTTTAAAATGGATCTTGTCCCCGGGCGCGAATATTGTCCCCGGGCGCCAAATACCCTCGCTACGCCGCTGGGTCAGTTTGAGGAGGATGGGAACTTGAGGATTATTGATAAATGGGGAAATTGTGATGATTTGGACTAATTTTTTTTTTGTATGTGTGTATGGAGTTCAGTAAAAAAATTTGACTTTGAAAAAAAAAAAAAACTTGAAATGTGTAATTGAAAGTTTCCAGACAAGTCGTTGAAAGTATATAAAGTAATGTATTTATTCTTGTTAGAAAATTCTTTTTTAATTTTTTTCAAGACAAATTATACTTTTTTTGAGGAGTTCCTGTGATGTTAAAATTTTGAAGGCAGTGTTTTATCAAAATCATTAAACTCAGTATTTATGGAACAATCTTCTAGGGGTCGTCTTGTGGAAGAAATACAATAGTAGAGATCAACTTTTGTCAGGAATTTTTTCCTCTTTTTGTCATTAAAAAATGTCATTACATGATATAAGTTTTAGAATTAAAAATAAATCAGTGACAATCTCCGAATTTTTCCCCTTCAGACCGTAAAAAAGATCTGGTTAAACTCCAACATGGGGAGTACATCTCATTGGCCCAGACCGAGACAGTCCTCAAGATGTGCCCGTTGGTGGAGCAGATCTGCGTGGTGGCCTCCAGTGACAAGAATAAAGTGGTGGCCCTCGTCGTGCCCAACGAAACTCACCTGGACGCGTTGGCAAAAGAGCGGGGCATTGTGAACTCTGACTTAAAGACTCTGTGCCAAAATGAACAAGTGGTCAGCGCCGTGCTGAGAGAGTTGACCAATCATGGACTTAATGGTAAGTTGATACCAAGGAAAATTCCCAGTGCTGAGAGAGGTGGCAAATCAAAAAGTTGACCAGTCATGGACGTAAGGGTAAGCTGATACCAAGGTAAATTCTTAGTGCTGAAAGAGTTGACCAATCATGAACTTAAGATAAGTTGATGCGGCGGATACAACGTTGTCTAGCAGATGGTCATCTTCGTTATGGCCACAGACAACAATGCAAGTGTCTATAACTTTGTTTCTTTCTTTTAGCTCCTACAAGGCTGCTGTGTGGTGGAACTACAAGGCTGATATGTGGTGGCACTACAAGGCTGATATGTGGTGGCACTACAAGGCTGATATGTGGTGGTACTACAAGGCTGGTGTGTGGTGGCACTACAAGCCTGATATGTGGTGGCACTACAAGGCTGGTGTGTAGTGCATGGCATTACAAGGCTATTTTGTGAAGGCTCTACAAGTCTTCTGTGTAGTGGCACTACAAGGCTGATGTGTGGTGGCTCAACAATACTAATGTGTGGTGGCACTACAAGGCTGATGTGTGGTGGCACTACAAGGCTAAAGTGTGGTGGCACTACAAGGCTAATGTGTGGTGGCACTACAAGGCTGATGTGTGGTGCCACTACAAGGCTAATGGGTGGTGCCACTATGGTGTGTAGTGCATGGCATTAGATGGCTAGTGTGTGATGGCTATACAAGTCTTCTGTGTTGTGGCACTACAAGGCTGATGTGTGGTGGCTCTACAAGGCTAATGTGTGGTGGCACTACAAGGCTGATGTGTGGTGGCACTACAAGGCTAATGTGTGGTGGCACTACAAGGCTAATGTGTGGTGGCACTACAAGGCTGATGTGTGGTGGCACTACAAGGCTAATGTGTGGTGGCACTACAAGGATGATGTGTGGTGGCACAAGGCTGTTGTTTGGTGGCTCTGCAAGGATGATGTGTGGTGGCACTACAAGGCTACGTGGTGGCACTACAAGGCTGATGTGTGGTGGCATTACAATGCTATTTTGTGAAGGCTCTACAAGCCTTATGTGTAGTGGCACTACAAGACTAATGTGTGGTGGCACTACAAGGCTGATGTGTGATGGCGCTACGAGGCTGTGTGGTGCACAAGGCTAATGTGTGGTGGCACTATAAGGCTGATGTTTTGTGGCACTACCAGGCTGATGTTTGGTGGCACTACAAGGCTAATGTGTGATGGCACTACAAGCCTAATGTGTGGTGGCACTACAAAGCTGATGTGTGGTGGCACTACAAGGCTGATGTGTGGTGGCCCTACAAGGCTGATGTGTGGTGGCTCTACAAGGCTGACGTGTTATGGCTCTACAAGGCTGATGTGTGTTTGGCCTACAAGGCAGATGTGTGGTAGCTCTACAAGGCTGATGTGTAATGACTCCACTAGGATTGATGTCTGGTGGCTCTGCAAGGGTTATGTGTGGTGGCACTACAAGGCTGATGTGTAATGGCCCTACAAGGCTGATGTGAGGTGGCCCTACAAGGCTGATGTGAGGTGGCACCACAAGGCTGATGTGAGGTGGCACCACAAGGCTGATGTGTGGTGGCACTACAAGGCTGATGTGTGGTGGCACTACGAGGCTAATGTGTGGTGTACAAGGCTAATGTGTGGTGGCACTATAAGGCTGATGTTTTGTGGCACTACCAGGCTGATGTTTGGTGGCACTACAAGGCTAATGTGTGATGGCACTACAAGCCTAATGTGTGGTGGCACTACAAAGCTGATGTGTGGTAGCTCTACAAGGCTGATGTGTAATGGCTCCACTAGGATTGATGTCTGGTGGCTCTGCAAGGGTTATGTGTGGTGGCACTACAAGGCTGATGTGTAATGGCTCTACAAGGCTGATGTGTGGTGGCCCTACAAGGCTGGTGTGTGGTGGCACTATAAGGCTGATGTGTGGTGGCATCGTTGACCACTCACCCATGGCATTGAAAGATAACAGTTGTATTTGTATCACTGCGGGCACATAAAGTTCTTTGAATAGCAAATGAACTCTTTAAGTTTAAGGATTTTATTTTTTCACAGTTAGCAAAAACACTCGGTTTGAAGTCGCTTATATTAATTAAGACAAACTCAATTTTATGACATATCTTCATAAAAACTGCATAAATAAATTGTATTTTATTATGTAAAAATTCTTTGGTTATGTAAATTCTTCAATGCCAAACTTCAGTGTTCGGCATGGTCACCACCGTTTCAGTGTTAGTCTTGGGACTTAAGGCAAACTCGACTCATACAATGACAATAAGGCTAACTCGAATTATACACTGACAATTAGACTAACTTGACCAATACAATGAAAATTAGGCCAACTGGACTAATACAGTGACAAAGTGTTTTGTGAGTGAGCTCTCTTGGCTTTGCTCAGTGGTGAACATGTAAACATTATCCAAGCCTTCTGGATTTCATTATTTTGTTTGGTGTTGACATGGATTAACCCTCTCACCGTCAAAAATTAAACCGTCAAAACTTAAATGTTAAAAAAAATTAAAAAAAATTGAACCCACTAAGACGGCTGGCATAGCAAGCCTAAAATTATTGCAGATATCCATGGATGCTACTTGTCAAAAAAAAAAAATGAGTGTCTGATTGTGCTGCTGAAAGTTAAATTATGTCACTAGACATTAGCGTTGTAAAACGCATGGTGTGCTATAACTTAAGAATTTAATAGCATTTAACCTTTTGACAGCCAAACTTCAACGTGTGGCGCTCCCCATCAAAGTCTCTCTGGTTCCTGACCATTGGATGCCGGACACTGGACTCGTCACAGGTGCCTTTAAGCTCAAGAGGAAAGTCATCGAGGATAGATTCAAGGCTGAGATAGCTGCTATGTATAAGTTATAGATGCTACTATATATAGATTATAGATGCTGCTATTTATAGGTTATAGGTGCTGCTATGTATAGGTTATAGGTGCTGCTATCTATAGGTTATAGGTGCTGCTATCTATAGGTTATAGGTGCTGCTATGTATAGGTTATAGGCAAAAGTTTATTAATTTGAGAACAATAAATAAAAAAAAAAAAGTCAAATCTTTCAAGTAATAGTTCATCCATTTATTTAAGTTCACAAAAAATTTCAACTCTAAAAAATAAACTGTTACCAACACTTTCATTTACACTTTTAAAATGTACAGTAAAGAAAAAACATGTATTCTTGTGCAGAGTGTTAGGTGTGCACAATTCTTGTAAACAAAGTTCTCCTATGATTCAGCTCATATTTGCTCAGCTCATGTCAACTTTCTTCTGTAGAATGATTTTCTGACCCAGACTCTGAAAGCCGTTGATGGCTGCAATCAGGGCATGTTCAAAGTTTCTCTCAGTTGAAGGCACACCCAAACTGGTCAGAAGTCTGGAACAGACAATAATGTGTAGCATGATCATCCAGATGATTATCTTTAGTTTCATTGTTAATTATTAATTGCTATTTTTGCTACCTATGGCTTGGACAGTGCTTTAATAAACAGTCAGACAACTACAACACTGTAGAATTTCTCCTTTCTTTGTCTAGCTTGTCACTAATGAAATGCATGAATGAATACAATTCAATGTAAAAAATATTTGGGCTGATTTTACCATCAAGATAAGATAGGGTCTGTAACATAATCACCTTTTAACTAGCATTTGCATACCGCATCCAGCAGTGAATGGATAGAGAAATACAATTGGTTGGGGACCATCTATAATTACATTATATTTGCCCTGAGAGGAGAGTGGTGTTGACTTAGGAGATTTTGTGTAAGGTTTGGAGGGGGGGGAGGGGGCAAATATTAAATTCTATAACAATTAACACAGCCACATTTTCTATGATTAGTAATGATAGGGGGCAGTGGTCTCGGTTAGAAAGTCTCACCCAGAAGCCCCGAATGTTCAAAAGTAGGATATTTGTATCTCGAATTTTGCAAAACTAACGCGCAATGTTTTGTACGAATCATTGTCATGATGTTGCCATGTATTATCGTGAATGAACTGGGTGAAAGAACTCGCTAGATACAGTCAGATAATAATGGTACTATGTAGTAGTGGTATTACAGTAATATTTAGTCCTCTGTATGTTCAACGTGCATGAGACATATTTTGTTGGGCTACGTGAGTGGTTCGAAAAATTGTGTTTCCCGGGCGCTTATGCCGTATTCAGGTTTTCAACCGGCTCTCTGTGTTGAATTCTTACAAGTACATTTCGAAATAGCAAATACATAAATAAAATAAATTAAAGGGTTGGGTAAAAATAAACATAACACGCATGTAGGTCACTAATCACCCTCTAGAAACTGCAAACAGTAGTTACTTAAAGTGGGTTACTGTTTGCACCACTAACCAAAGTTGTCACATTGGATTAAAAATGGAAAAACAATTGTGAAAATTTTGTAATATTTCACAACGCCCCCTGTAAAGAACCCGCCCCCTGTAGGGAAGCCGTAGCAACCCATATAGAAAAATGTACACCCCACCCCCCCCCCACCCCCTGTGGACAAGCACAAGGGACTATTTTAAGCGCCCCTTGTCTTTAAGAAGTAAATAGGATTTTATAGTTTAATCCACTGTTAAGGTCCTTTCTAAAGATGATTTTTGCCGCCTGGCCTGTTGCTCTTCGCCCCATTCTCGTGGCCCTTCCTGAGGGCAACAAACAGCTTATTTACATTCTGGGAACCACTGGTTGCCCGAAACGGCCTGTGGTGAAAACCCGTGTCACATTTTTTAAGTAATGTAACATCATAATTATAATTATGTAAGATTATTGGTTGATATTTATTTTTTTTATTTTAAGGGGGGGGGTCCTGAATTGTACCTAAGCAAAGGGTGGGGGGGGGGGGGGGGGGAAAAAAGTGCGTGTTTAGCAGGGGTAAAGGGAGATAGAAAATTTGACTTTTTGCGTGTACTACGTAGATGGCTACCTCCTCCCTCTGTTTGGGTACTGTATGACGTAATTTTATTATAGAATTATTTCTTACGGCTGAACCCCAGCCAGAAAACTTGAGAATGGATTCTCAACTGGTCACCGCAGCAATATTAGATTTTGACGTATTTTATATGATCGGAGGAGGCCTTTATAATATATATTTAGAATGCACAGAAGAGCTGTGCTCCCACTTCTTTTCATCCATTGACAGCTTTTGATCTGACTTGGAGTTTGAACCATGTTATATTTCCCCACTGACTTTATTTTCCCCAGTGACAGACTGGGATACTGTGATCGGCACGTTCACTTAAATAGTCCTTGATATCCATAGCAGATACACGTCTGCAAAGCAAAGTGACCACAGATAGCAATATAAACCTCAGTCATCTACATTTTATCTTCAGTTCCCCCTTTTTTTGGTAAACTTAACTCGATCCCATTAGACGCCCGATCTGGGTAGTTATACGTTAAATTTACTGTATGTTTATTTATTATTTACTATTAAGATACTGTATTGTAAGATTTTATGACTATATTGTACGATTTTAGGAGTTTGAGGGTAAACAGGTCTGTACAATCCAAAAAATCTCATTTAATAGTTTGTCTGAAAAGCCAATTTTTTTCAGATTACAAAAAAAAAAAAAAAAAAAAAAAAAAAAAAAAAAAAATAAAATAAATCAGATATTCATGATTTGTATTCTTCTATATCTCTTCTATATCTTAAGGGCCCACGATCAATTTATTTATTATTTTGGCTCTTTAATGTTTTAAATTTGGTTTTGTATAATTGAAAACTGTATTGTCTCCCTTATCCATATTGGGTTGTCATTTGCCTTTTTTTTGTGTTATCAAATTGAATGATCCCAGAACTCACCGGAAGTTGAAAGAAAGAGAAGGAAACAAATTTTTTTTACTCACTTGTCTGATAAATTGGGTATCACTGGCTGCAGCAATATTCCACACACTCTCAGCGTTTCCATCCCCATATGAAGTGTCAGCAAGAGGTGAGCATTGTCCTGGGGCTTGTCGGACTTGCAGAGCTGCCATGGGCTGTGACTCTGGACAAGGCCGTTGGCCCAGTGGAGGTGACCCATGATTTCATCGAGGGCTCGGCTGAAGTGAAACTCTGTGTACAGCTGGTCTGCTTTACCTGCAACAACGATAAGAAACAAAATATCATTGCATCACACCTAAAAAAAAAAAAAAAGTGGTGTTTTTGGATGACGTGGAAGATGGCAAAATGTGAGCATCTGAACAATGTGCCACACCCTTCTTGTGGTGCTCCACCATTTGCAAAGTTTTTTACCTGAAACAAAGATAAGAAACAAAATATCATTGCATCACACCTAAAAAAAAAAAAAAAAAGTGGTGTTTTTGGATGACGTGGAAGATGGCAAAATGTGAGCATCTGAACAATGTGCCACACCCTTCTTGTGGTGCTCCACCATTTGCAAAGTTTCCCTCCTGTGCTAAAGTGAAGAAACACATTTTTAAACAATCAAAGAATAAAGAAATAAACTTAAACCCTTTTCGTTGCTGTTATAAATATGTTTAGAAATCATTTCTAAAGGTAAAATCCTCCATTCAGTTAAGTTATCTGTTTACAGCTATTCCCTCCCTTATTTGTGACTACTGCTTGCCAGCTTATTTAATACTATCTTAACATTGATATAGAACTGATCATTGACTTATACCTGGCAGCTGATAGAGGGCCTTGTGCATGTCTCTCTCTTCGGCTGAGCAAAACTCAAACAGGTCATCTTCGTTCAGGGCAGGAAACTCTTGTCTCTTGTTCACCGACTGGGCTGTGAGTCGACCCAGGAGATTTCCCATTGTGTTGGCCAGGTCTGAGTTAATTCTCTCTGTCAGTTTTTTATCGCTGTAGGCTGCGGGGTGAAAACAAAATTATGGAACTGATGACAAAGGAGAGACTCAACAATGAAAACTGAACTGTTGACGTCCTTGGGAATTTCTATTATTTTTTTAAAAAGTAGTACACACTTTAAAAGTTTAAAATATATGTGTAGTTGAGGAACAGTGTGTAACAACCACACATTGTATGCCTAACTGTAACTAAGTAATTATAAAAAGAATTTCTGTAAAATGTTTTTTTCCCCCACGGTGTTTAGAGGTTATTTTTAAGAATTTCCTGTAAAACTCCATCAGAAAATGTCCAAGTTTGACCCATGCAATAAGATCCTATTATCAGAATATAAATTTAACAAGGAATCTTTGCCTGGATGTTACATTATAACAGGGTTTGGACATTTTGTTTATAGTTTTTCATTTGTGGCCTTTCATTACACTCAGCCATTGCGTTGCAAATATAAAATATTAAGAATAATGTGATTGCTCCAGACCTGTTTATTCTTATGATTTTGGCGTACAATATACGATTTTGAGGTGTATACACTATATATACTGTATGTTTATTTTTTACTATTAATATAATGTATTTAACAATTTTGTGATGATATTGTACGATTTTAAGAGTTTAGAGGTAAGCAGGTCTGTTGCTCATTAAAATTACAGCGTTTCCCGTCTGAATTTTGGTATTGAATGTATTCAACAAATGTTACTAACAACAGTCCGAGTCCAGGCTTCCTTCTTTCAGGAGAAAGTACCGTACTCCATCAACACCCAGAGCCTCCATCTTGCACATCGGGTCTATCACATTACCAAGGCTTTTAGACATCTGAAAATTGATTCCTGATTAAATTTTGAGCTTTTAAGCTATCATAACACCAGGCAAAAATACGCTAAAAAAATTTGAATAACAAGCAAGTAAGAAACATCCAGTGGCCAAGGTCACCTCTGTATGACATCCTAGAGTCCCAATGTTCACATCATGAAATTGTTAATCAACAAGTACATGTATTTAAAATATCTATGTCCAAACATTTACTTATGTGCGTACACTACATTTCTATACAGTATCTCACATGAATGATACCTTTTTTTTTATTTTAGGAAAATGAAGAAAAAGAATCACTCTAACCTTGACATTGTCTACCAACCAATGAGAGTGGACGACAAGCTTCTTTGGTGGGTCAAAGCCGGCTGCTATCAGAAACGCAGGCCAGTAGATGGCATGAAATCTGTGAAAGGAAAATAAGAAATATACACAGGGTAAGAGTATACCGAAAGAAGGATGATAAAAAATTTTTTTTTTTTTTAAAAAGCGGACATTGCGGCCAAGATGCCCTTGACCGCTGAACGCAGTCCTCCCAATATTTCTCTTATAAAGGAAAATATGATTTTATTTTTGAAAACAGTGTAGAATATTGATCTGAAAACATTGGTATGGGTAAAACATGTGATAAAAAATAAGAGTAGCATGATATAATATAATGAGAGAACTCATGATAAAAAGTTAAGGTACACATGATAATTGGATATTTACATGGCCTAGATTTAATTTTTAAAAACAACAACTCTTTTAGAGATTTTAAAAAGACATGCTTCTTCTTGATTGTTAGACAGATGTGCTACCATGCATTAGTTTATTACTTGAGGATGTCTTTGCCAATCACCTGACAGTCTGGTGGCCAGGGGAACCAACCAGCCTTTGGGTAGCCGGTCACTGTGAGGTAGTTGACCAGAGCATCGAGCCATACATAAATCTAGCAATAAAAAAACAAAAACAGAGTTGGGTCATTCAGTAGCCATTTAATGTGCACACCTGCTATCTGGTTAAAGTAATATTAAATCAGTGGCTCATATGCTGTAAGTGTCCCTGGGTACCATAATATTCTGAAGGAAACAGGCTCGAAATTAATTCAAAACTTTGAGGTTCTTGGAGCCGGTATTTCAAATTCACACTATAGACCACACAATTAGCTCTGGTGATCACTTTGGTTACGTCTGATCTACATGACTAAAAACTATATTTTACAGTGGGTCAGCCAGTCTACTGGGCATTTTAAACTACATGGTTTGTATTTTAAACTGATTAATAATCTGGGGAAAAAAAAAAGAAAAAAAAAGAGGAAAATGAACCTCTTCATAAGAATGAGGGAACTGTTGGATCATCAAGAAATGAACCTCTTCATAAGAATGAGGGAACTGTTGGATCATCAAGAAATGAACCTCTTCATAAGAATGAGGGAACTGTTGGATCATCAAGAAATGAACCTCTTCATAAGAATGAGGGAACTGTTGAATCATCAAGAAATGAACCTCTTCATAAGAATGAGGGAACTGTTGAATCATCAAGAAATGAACCTCTTCATAAGAATGAGGGAACTGTTGAATCATCAAGAAATGAACCTCTTCATAAGAATGAGGGAACTGTTGAATCATCAAGAAATGAACCTCTTCATAAGAATGAGGGAACTGTTGGATCATCAAGAAATGAACCTCTTCATAAGAATGAGGGAACTGTTGAATCATCAAGAAATGAACCTCTTCATAAGAATGAGGGAACTGTTGAATCATCAAGAAATGAACCTCTTCATAAGAATGAGGGAACTGTTGAATCATCAAGAAATGAACCTCTTCATAAGAATGAGGGAACTGTTGAATCATCAAGAAATGAACCTCTTCATAAGAATGAGGGAACTGTTGAATCATCAAGAAATGAACCTCTTCATAAGAATGAGGGAACTGTTGAATCATCAAGAAATGAACCTCTTCATAAGAATGAGGGAACTGTTGAATCATCAAGAAATGAACCTCTTCATAAGAATGAGGGAACTGTTGAATCATCAAGAAATGAACCTCTTCATAAGAATGAGGGAACTGTTGAATCATCAAGAAATGAACCTCTTCATAAGAATGAGGGAACTGTTGGATCATCAAGAAATGAACCTCTTCATAAGAATGAGGGAACTGTTGAATCATCAAGAAATGAACCTCTTCATAAGAATGAGGGAACTGTTGAATCATCAAGAAATGAACCTCTTCATAAGAATGAGGGAACTGTTGAATCATCAAGAAATGAACCTCTTCATAAGAATGAGGGAACTGTTGGATCATCAAGAAATGAACCTCTTCATAAGAATGAGGGAACTGTTGAATCATCAAGAAATGAACCTCTTCATAAGAATGAGGGAACTGTTGAATCATCAAGAAATGAACCTCTTCATAAGAATGAGGGAACTGTTGAATCATCAAGAAATGAACCTCTTCATAAGAATGAGGGAACTGTTGAATCATCAAGAAATGAACCTCTTCATAAGAATGAGGGAACTGTTGAATCATCAAGAAATGAACCTCTTCATAAGAATGAGGGAACTGTTGAATCATCAAGAAATGAACCTCTTCATAAGAATGAGGGAACTGTTGGATCATCAAGAAATGAACACGCAAAATACAATGACATGCCCATTGCAGCTGTTCTAAATGGGGTTAGTAAAAACGCGATGGAGTTCAGCTGATGAATTGCAAACGGGGCCATGTGAAAGGGGGGTGTTCGGGTTTGAGGAGGGGGGGGGGGTTGCACCTTCATCAGAGGGCACCCAAATCTTAATGTTTCATGTAAGATGTGCTTATCAATATAATATACACTTTTTGGGAAGATGCACCTAAATTCATCCTTAGCCCTGGGTACAGCTTTTGAGTGCAATGGTGCTGTTGGCATAGGCAAAGTTGATATCTAAACTATACATATATTCAAATTGGGGCCATACATATGTATATAAATGGCACCATTCTGAAACTTCAATTCTTCCCAGTGTTGAATTATACATTCAAATTAGTTGTCTCCCATTCACTTTAAAATTTTTTTCCACTTAAACTTTCTTTTTTTTTTCTTGAATACCTGAGGACCCCTGCAAATTTGTACCAAGCACAATAAATATTGTATTTTGAAATCTAAACAAAAAAAGAACAACAGGAATTGTTTTTCAACTGGTCGTGCTATTCCCTAACATTTAATTCAAATTCTATTGCTCACGGTTTGAGATTCATCCCCAGGTACGGGTATTCCCCATGGTAATCTGACCCGGTCTCTAGTCAACGACAAGTCTGGCAGATTCTGCACCATGTGTCGGACAGCCGTCTCAAACTGCGGTGGAAAAATGGCTGAAAAATTAACAGCTTGTGTTAAACACTTTCCAACAAAACAAAGGAAATACGCGGTGGTGGCACGATGAAACTATTTCTTAATCTAAAGTCAAATGAGGACAGATGAAGAACATAAACTACCAAGTGTATCTCAATGAGTGAATTGGTGGAGATGACACTAACATTGGAATTTTAGGTGAGTGTGTGGTGGAGATGAAACTAACATTGGAATTTTAGGTGAGTGTGTGGTGGAGATGAAACTAACATTAGAGTTTTTGGTGAGTGTGTGGTGGAGATGAAACTAACTAACATTAGAATTTTAGGTGAGTGTGTGGTGGAGATGAAACTAACATTAGAATTTTAGGTGAGTGTGTGGTGGAGATGAAACTAACTAACATTAGAATTTTAGGTGAGTGTGTGGTGGAGATGAAACTAACATTAGAATTTTAGGTGAGTGTGTGGTGGAGATGAAACTAACATTATAATTTTTGGTGAGTGTGTGGTGGAGATGAAACTAACTAACATTAGAATTTTAAGTGAGTGTGTGGTGGAGAAGAAACTAACATTAGAATTTTAGGTGAGTGTGTGGTGGAGATGAAGCTAACATTAGAATTTTAGGTGAGTGTGTGGTGGAGATGAAACTAACATTAGAATTTTAGGTGAGTGTGTGGTGGAGATGAAACTAACATTAGAATTTTAGGTGAGTGTGTGGTGGAGATGAAACTAACTAACATTAGAATTTTAGTTGAGTGTGTGGTGGAGATGAAACTATCTAACATTAGAATTTTAGGTGAAGGTGCTTCTAACTAAAAAAAAAACAACAAAAAAACCCATTAATTTATTTATTTAAAAAATGCTCACTTCGCTACTGCTTTACATGATTTGCAAGAGGGAAAAAGGTGGAAAAACTTAAGTTATTCACTAAATTAAGTCTTTTATTTCTGTTGCTTTCAGTGGTATAAGTGCCACTAAATGATAAACTGATTTGTAAATAAACTAATTCCTAATCTACTCATTGACATACGTTTAGAGTTCAACCAGTGAGTAAGATGTTGCTGGAGATCAGACAGCTTAAACAGATAATTGTTCTCTTCAGACCAGGTCACCACATGACCACTGGCTTTGGAAACCTGTCCAGCAAATACACAACAGGGAACAAAAATCAACTCAGGGTATATGAAACCTGGCACCGAAATAGTTCTGTGATTAACATCAGTTCAAGAAGCGTGTCACAGATTGTGTGTGGATCGGGTTTGGGGAGACAACACAGCCCCGAAATAGTTCTGTGACCAACGGCAGTTCAAGAAGAGTGTCACTGAGTGTGAATGGATGGGGTATGGTTAGATTTACAGACTAAATAGTGATAGTTCACAGCCTGTGTCCACATAACATTCTAACGCATTGAATCTGTATTTATATATGTAAGCAGGGTGCTCGGTGGGACAAAGAAACATTCCGACAACTCCTGCAACGCCACTGGTGCCAATCTGTATTATGCATATGATGTTCCCTTAGGTTTTCCACCAGTGTAGGGAACCAGCTTATAATCCTAAAAAAAGGAAGAATCCCTGCCCTTGTCTACACCATCGTCACATTATGACAGACAGATGCTAGCCAAAAAACCAAACAATACAAAAATAAAACCATATGTAAGCAATAGGCTTATATATCTCAAGTGGTTTGGGTGATCAAGACTTATATTTGTCCAAGCATCTAAATTCCCCCACAATTTACTTCAGAGTCAGATCTTGTCTTATGCCTTTTAGGACTAATAGGAAATTATTTCAATGACAAGTAGCTTGTGGTGTCATATACAGTATAATGTCTGCCGAAGTAATGTTTTGCACAGATCTAAAACTAGCTTTAAAACAAGAAGAAATGTCAAAGAGACCTTGACAGTGCTGCCATCTGGTAAACATTTATCCTCCACATCGCTTTCGGAAAGAAATGCTTCATCAGAGACAGAGTACCAACCAGAGTAGCTGCCCTTGTAGATATGTCCACGTTCCTTCAGTCTATTCTGAAATTCAAACAGGACAATTCAAACCATAAATTTTTTTTTTTTTTTTTTTTTTTTCCCAGGAATATAAAATAAATACTAAAAAAATACAAGTGTTGCTAGATAATAGAAGTACTTAACAGTACTATGAGATTTCTGCACGATTTGTTGTGTAAAGCAAAATGAAATGTCCCATCTTGTTTCAACGATTTTTAATAGGAAAATAGCTAATTACAATTGATAAATAAACCAAAATCAATGAAAGATGTTGCTAAACATTTGGAGAAATATAATAAATATTTTTTAATATTTAAAGGTGCAGTAATTTTTCGAAATACACTTGCACTTAAGTATTTTGATTTCATTTAATTTTTTAAAAAAATAAGTTGTAATATGTAAAATCACCCTGGTTTTCTAAACAGCAACATGTTTAAATTTGATTAAGACATTCTCAGAGGATTATTTCTAGAGGTGTGAAGTGAGCCCCCGACTTACCCAGAACGCCACCACAGCCTCGTGGTGATCAGCCTCTGTTGTCCTGATAAATCTGGTGTAACTGATATCTGCAGCATCAAACAAGGACTGCAGAAAGTTGAAAAAATAAATAGCTTTACCAATGAGACAGCCAAAACACTAAAATAACGATTCAAAAATTATTTCATTATACTTAATATTTCAGTTTAATCCATGAGCTGTAAATTTTAACTGATTAAATCTGAGCATTTTGGGGGGAGGGGGGGGGGGCTATTTTTAAGTTATTTTAACCCATGTCAAGTTGGATGTAATCATCTTAGATATTTACCCATACCTATGGAGGACCCCTGATGAAGTGAAACCTGCTGCGTCTTCCCTTATCCCTTATTTCAGAACTGTTTACCCACCAACTCTTAAAATTCGTACAATATTATTAAAATCGTTCAATACATTATCTTAAAAGTAAAAAAAATAAACATAAAGTATATATAAATGTATACAACTCAATGTATGCCAAAATCGTAAGAGTAATCAGGTCTGCTTATTTTGGGTGCTTTTCAAGTAGGATAAGATTTGTTATTGGGGTAAGTATTACATGCAAGAGACCCAGTGAGTTGGATTGATGTTTATTAAAAAAAAAAAGGTTTTGCTGTGTGATGTATGCAACATGAAATTACTATAAAAAAATAATAAACTTAGACCAATGTTTTACGGTATTTAATACAAAAATAAAAGTAAAAAATGAAAATTTATCAAACAAAAAAAATAAATAAATTTCTTTTTTTTAAAAATGAGCCTAAGTCAAAGCAGTTTTTTTTTTTTAAAATTGACCCACCTTAAATTTATGAGACACTTGATCACAAAATGTTTGGGGGTCAAGTTTGTTGGCAGTTGCAGCTTGCTGAATCTGTTTAAAAACAAAAACATTTAGAATGCTTATACTTATAAAAATAAATTATTTGAAAAAATATACATTAATTTATCATACTGGAGTTTCAGCCTATTAATTACTGTGAAATATGAAAGGAATACTTATCAAATTTTAGGACCAATGGTTGCTAAAAATTTTGCCTCAACTGGCTGAAACTGACTTACCTTCTCTAAAAGTCAAATACCAAATTATACACACACAAAAAAATGTAAATAAAAAAAAGCAGTCAAAACTTCTAGATGACTTTAAGTTTACCAGATTAAATTCAGTTAAGCATGAAATTGATCTGACCATCTTACTTTTAGGCCATGCTCGTCAGTTCCAGTTGTAAAAAATGTGTTAGATCCTTTTAATTTATTCCATCTGGCTGATGCATCAGCTAGAAGACAACTGTAGAGGTGGCCAATATGTGGTGCTGACAAAAATTATAGCATATTAATATTAGAAGACAGCTGTAGAGGTGGCCAGTATGTGATTCTGATAAAAATTATGGCATATTAGAAGACAGCTGTAGAGGTGGACAATATGTGATTCTGATAAAAATTATGGCATATTAGAAGAAAACTGCAGAGGTGGCCAATATGTGATTCTGATAAAAATTATGGCATATTAGAAGAAAACTGTAGAGATGGCCAATATGTGATTCTGATAAAAATTATGGCATATTAGAAGACAGCTGTAGAGGTGGCCAGTATGTGATTCTGATAAAAATTATGGCATATTAGAAGACAGCTGTAGAGGTGGCCAGTATGTGATTCTGATAAAAATTATGGTATATTAGAAGACAGCTGTAGAGGTGGACAATATGTGGTGCTGATAAAAAAGTGCGCAATTGAAGTCTTAAGAAAAAATTATATTTACAATTTGCCTGAAGGCTCTGTTCAATATTTGGAATAGAAACAACTGCCCCAATAAATTATGTGGAAGGGCCTATCTATAAAAGAACTTTCGGAGGTGTAATTGGCACAATAAAGGTGAAGGGGTTTGTAAAAAAAAAAAAGTGGAAAAAGTGTCTCTCGTTAGTTATAAGTGTTCAAGTCAAAAGAAAAATATTAAAATATAACTTCAAATGTATTTTAACTAATTATTTTCTACTAAAGAATACTACAATAATTGCATGAAATTACCTAGAGGTTTTTCAATAAAAAAGTTAGCTAAATAAATATCAAAAAGATTTAATATAAGATCACTATACCTGCATTAACATAATAAATTGGTGTGCTTATTGAGTATGTCTTTGAAGCAGGGGGCCGTTCTTGGGAGTGGTAAAACGTATTTTTTATATGTAGAAATCGCACATACACAAAAGGACACTTAATAGTCCCTGGAAGCTTATTTAGCTGGTTGGTTATTCTTTTCACTGACATCCTCTGAAATTTTAAAGAAATGTATCATTTGTTTCAAAATTTAACATTTTTTAAAGCACCTTTTTTTCCATTTATAATACATCAAAGCAGATTGACGGTTACATTATTTTAAGAAAAAGCACAATATCAACATTAATTTAAAAAACTTTTAAACGCCCTATACCGGTACTGAGATTTATTATTATTATTATTATCATTTAGGCATTTTTGTATAGCTTACCTTACAGCTCTAAGCTTTACAATTATTAAAAATATGTGAACTATTTAAACTGCTAAAGTAATAAAAAATGAAAAACCAGAGACACTAGAATAGTAACTTCTATTTAATGCAAGTTATGTATTATATCATCCTAATATAGCAAAGTGCACAAGAAATGCCTATGGGGAGGATGCAGTTGTTTCAAAGGTCATTTTATTATTATTAACAAAGATTTAGACTTTCAAAAAAATATTTAAAGAGTATGTGATAAAATATAAGTTTATAAATATAACAATAGAAATTAGAGACTTGTGAGATGTATAGGTGGGTGGTTAAAAATTAATGGAATTTTAATAATATGTGGGTAAAGCTTAACAAATGGATTATCAATATTTTAAGAGGGGGAAGGGGGTTTTGCATTAAGGAGATTTTGTGTTAGAGTGCTGTTGGTGAGGGAAAGGGGTCTTGGCAGAATGTGTATGCACTATAAAAATTATTAAATGTATAAAATCTTATGAATTCTGACAGTCGATTGGCATCAGCATTAGTAGTCTATTTATTTATATCTCTAATATAGTAAATTATCACCCACAAATTTATAAATAAATAAATTTAAACAGCGAGGTGGGGTGAGAAGCTCAATTAAAATATTAAGGGGGGGGGGGGGTTAATAAAATAAGGTGGCTACATACACAGTCAGCTGGGAATAAAAATCAATGTTATCCCAGCCAACTTTCTATAAGGCTAATAAATGAAGGACTGCGTTCAAGCTGTGTGAAGGAAATAGTAGAACAATGAACAAGTTATGTGGAAGCTTGAATTGAAAGAAAGGACAATAACAAAAGAGAGTTTTGGCTCAGAATCAGAACAAATGAAAATATAAGGCTCAGCCTTATTCATAATAATAATATATTATAATATTATAAATAATATATGGTATTATTATTATAGTAATTATTATAATAAATTATACTTATACTATAGTCTTATAGCACAATAAAATTAAAATACATGTGACCTTGTATACTTGAGATGCATAGGTAGGCTTACATTATTCAAATTTATTTATTTTGGTCTAACAACATTCCCCCCAAACACCACTTTTTCTTCTTCGTATTATGACACTTAATTTACTTCTTAGTCTTATTTAATTTATAACTATTTAAAATGATTTGTGGCTTGTGGGGAAGAAAACGACTGCCGTAGCCGTAGAATAGACTATGACTATACTAGTACTAGTATACTATAGACTACTATTATTCTATTATTTATGTTTACTATTACTATTATTAATTAATAGTATTAATTGTAATCACTTACTAATTGCCCTACTACTAAATTAGCCAAAATAGCATAAGATGTTGGTAAAACGTAAGTCCAGTGTCAACACTCAATTAAATGAGTGGTAATTTACCAAATTATAAACAGTTATAGTTATATTATAAGGTAAACAGGTAAGAAAGAGGTGAAATAAAAAAAAGTTCAAATAAATAAATGCCTGAAAGTTATTGAAACGTAGAAAAGGTAGAGAAATTCAAACACGCCAAGCTAATGAATTACAGAAAAAAATGGGAGCCTTTTATTACATTATTTTTAAGGTGTGTGTGTTGATTTTTTTACTACTTCTTCGGGGTAAGCTATAGTGCCATAACTATTATAAATTCATTTTAGTGGTTGCCGATGCCGAAACTAACTCTTTTGTTTTAGCAGACATAAAAATGAAAACAAGGTCACCATCTTTACCGACATGTAAGTGAAACCCAGGTAAATTCCAGATATAGCTGAAATAGCTATTTATGATCTGTCGTTCAAACAACGTGTCCTAATAATTTCTTGCTGGTCAACAAAAAATATTTTTTACATTTCAGTCATTAATTTTGATGAAAATAAATACTCATAATCTAATTAACTTGGGTGAAAATCCCAAACAAAAATAAAAATAAAATAAATTAATTAATTAAAAAATGAGAAGCTAAACGAATTATACTTCAAACTTTTACTTTATTACACTGAAACAACGTTCATAACTTCAAAACCATTAAAGCATTTATGAATACTAATATTTTTTTTAATATAAAAAATATTTTGGGTTTTAAATTTTCTTTAAAACTTAACATATAGGCTATGTATTTTATTTATGTATTAGTGCTCTGCTAAATACTTCTCCTATTTCACCAGTCCAATTTGTAGAAAGGTTCAAAACCACTGCAAAAATCACTTATGGCAAAATTTTCCAGACATTGCAAGAAACAATAATTTATTTTTTACTAATGCATTTTGAAGTTTTAAACCGGTGAAACAGATAGATAAGTAAATAAATACCTTTTCGTAAATAAACACATTTGATTTTACATTATTTTGTTTATATTTAAAACACACACAATCTACTTCTTTTTATATAAATTGTTTTGTTTACATTTTTTTAAATCAGCGTGAATTAAAATAATAAATTATTGCTCGAAATATTTTAAACTGCTATTTATTTATTTCATTTTCTTTTACAAATCTAGTAGGGGGGCAATCGCCTAACATGGAGCAGTATATTAAAATTAGAGTCAATTGCAATCAAAGTGATGAATTTAATTAAATATTAACGTTTTAAGTGAGCCCGTATTCAATCATAAACATAAGGTGTCCCGATTTAGCAGCCTTGTCTCGACGTGCCGGATGGTTTAAATTTTTTATCTCGGTTTTAACACAGTGTGGTAAGAATTAGTGTGTTCTGCTTATCTTAGATAATCTATTACATATATCAAAACCTCGTTTGTTTGGAACCTCATATTTAATGTTTTTTGTTGTTTTTCGTCCGTCGAAGATCGACTAGGACCATCGAGTCCTCAGGTGACTGATGACTTGCGCGGGAGACTTTTTGTTTTAAGAGATGAGCGGCGTCAACCTCACTTTCTCGTCCGGGCCCACCATATCCAGTGGCAGGAATCTACGTCAAGACGAACAGGGATGGGAGCGGTGTGCGCCTTACAGGACTCCAACTCCGGGTTTGATTTCAGGGTTTCCTTCTCTTAGATGAGTTGCCGACCGAGGTTAGCGAGTCTCATCCACCCGGGGTGATTTTTTTGACCGGAATTGAACTCCAGACCACCAACTTGGGGTTTGCTCAGTTTAGACCATTCGGCCACCCAGTATTTAATGTAACTAATGTAACACTCCATATGTACACATTTCCAGCACTTAGCTATATTAGGCAGCATGCCGGGATTAATGAAAAAAAATTCTCGTGTAAATTAGAGAATTCATCGAATGAGAATCCCAAGTCAAATGTTACACCTGCAACCTATAACCCCCCTCCCCCGCCAAAAAAAACCAACAAAAAAAAAACAAAAACAAAACAACTACAAACAAGCAAACAAAATTAACACGTTTTTGCCTTTAAAAAGATAGAAATAATATGCTAGAATTCCAGTCAGTAATCTTTTTTCCAACGACTATAACAAATACCAGCACACACGACGTGCAGATCCTGCATGTTAATAGCCTTCCTAAACCCATCCACCGGCGTACACAATGTGACTATTCAGACCTTGAGCGTTGTTATTCTTCCTAAATCTAAATACCAACAGATATTATGTGACTTTACATGACTTGCGTGTTAACCAAATGGAGTACCCAGAATAGTTGCCTCCCGAGGCGCAATACCAAACTTGTGTTCACACAAACACAATTTATTACATAGTTTTGGTAATTAACAATAATTAGGGGTCCTTTCCCCCACCCTAAGGTATTCCAATGGTCTCGTTTGTTACAACTGGTCCCAGGTTCAAACACTTATATGGAAAATTCAATCTGCGTCTACTTTGTACTGGTCCATAGGTATTAATAATCACAATATTTTCGAAGTCTGACTTGTGTCAAAAAATCAAGTGAGTGCTGAATTTTACTAGGCCTTTACCTTTAGTTAAATTTAACCTAATCTTTAAAAAAATGTAGGTGTACAAGAGAGCAATGATTATTTCAGAAATTCCCCCCCCCCGGGCACTTCAGATTATTCAGGGGGGGGGGGGCAGTGCCAGTTGATTTATTGTTGAACATATTTTTTGCTCGGGGGGGGGGTAAAAGCACTTGGCCTTCCCCGGGGGGGGGGCGGGGGCAGTGACCCCGGAGATATAGCTGAAAGAAACCCTGCCAGAGAGCTACCGGTGCCTTTGACTGACCACATAATATATTCTAATACAATCAAACAGTTAAGTGTTGTACAGTTTCTACCAGTGAATCTGATCAACTATATTTTAGAACTCTCCCTAAGACTGAATTCTACCTCACTCCTGCCTCCCCACCACCCACACTAGCATACAGTTCTCTCACTGCCATTAACTATCGATCACGTGGTCATTTTCAGGGTAACTAGTTAGCGCACCGTCACACGATAAATCTTACCCATAATCGTTTACCACTCTCCCCCTCACACCCTTCCCCCAAACGCAGCTACCCAGACCGAAGGAAATGATGATGATGAGAGGAAATGAGGCTGTTATTGATGAACCCATTGATCATGACTGACAGTTCTAGCCGTGGACACGCCGTGTGTGCAGTGGGTGGAGCCGTCGTGATAGAGTTGTCAAGGGATAGCGCGCTTGCTAATTGCACGTATCTGTGTGACCGTGGCCATGCTTCGGGTAGAGTCTTGTAAATAAGACAAGATCTCACCAGCTCCCTGGAGTCCTTCATTTAAAAAAAAAAAATTGACTTCATATACGAATCGGGTAAATAACACTATACGTCATGAGTTGGTATCACGGATCTCTTCGGCAACATATCGTCCACAATGTGTGGCGTTCACGTGAGATCATAACATGTGGCGTAATTACTGACCATCCCCATACTCCAGGAACATCCCTAACACTATGGGGCTCATAGATCACGTATTTTGATGACTACTTTTCATGTCACACTTTAAAAATAAAAATACTATCCGGGGATTGAGGTGTGTGTGCAATATCCACCCCATGCCAGTGTGCTCTCAGTGGGCTCTCGGTGGGCTCTCGGTGTGCTCTCAGTGGGCTATAGGTGCGCTCTCGGTGGGCTCTCGGTGCGCTCTCGGTGCGCTCTCGGTGCGCTCTCGATGCGCTCTCGGTGCGCTCTCGATGCGCTCTCAGTGCGCTCTCGGTGTGCTCTCGGTGTGCTCTCGGTGGGCTCTCGGTGGGCTATCGGTGCGCTCTCGGTGGGCTCTCGGTGCGCTCTCAGTGCGCTCTCAGTGCGCTCTCAGTGCGCTCTCAGTGTGCTCTCAGTGTGCTCTCCGTGTGCTCTCCGTGGCTCTCGATGTGCTCTTGGTGCGCTCTCGGTGCGCTCTCGGTGCGCTCTCAGTGCACTCTCAGTGTACTCTCAGTGTACTCTCAGTGGGTTCTCATTGTGTTCTCAGTGTGCTCTCAGTGTACTCTCAGAGTGCTCTCAGTGTACTCTCAGTGGATTCTCAATGTGCTCTCAGTGTGCTCTCAGTGTACTCTCAGTGTACTCTCAGTGTACTCTCAGTGTACTCTAAGTGTGCTCTCAGTGTACTCTCAGTGCGCTGTCAGTGTACTCTCAGTGTACTCTCAGTGTGCTCTCAGTGGGTTCTCAATGTGCTCTCAGTGTTCTCTTAGTGTGCTCTCAGTGCGCTCTCAGTGAGCTCTCAGTGTGCTCTCAGTGTACTCTCAGTGTGCTCTCAGTGTACTCTCAGTGTACTCTCAGTGTGCTCTTAGTGGGCACTCTACAGCTCACAGTGTGCTCTCTACCCTAGGGTACTCTCTAATTTCTGCCGTCCGTTCATAGAGAGCTCTCTACCAGCCAAGGGTGTTCTCTGCCGTCCGCCCCGTGCTCTTTGACGTCAGTTTGGTCATAACAAAGATCCGGTCTATAAAGTAAATCAAGATTTTTATCTGGCGTAGAGTGGAAGCCAAAACAAAGAACTGGCTTTTTTTAGGATTAATTACACCCCCCCTCCCCCCC